CAATGCGCGTCAATTTCGATTACATTCAGAACTCAAATCTATCGGAAGTAGGCCTGCAGGCTTAAGACACATGTTGTCTCGATGTCATCGTATTTAACTGACATTCTTTAAACAGGTGACAGATGCTTCAGCAATAGCACGACAAATAGCGCTAATTATCAAATTAACTCACAACGAGGAACTCAAAAAAATCCAAAAGAATTTAACTGTAAGGTCAGTTAAAAGACAATGAAACGTCTTTAATTGCTACAGTACTGCCAATTGAAATGAACGATTTACTTCGAATTTAGCATGTTTGCATGGTGTAACCACGTTATTTGACCAAATAAGGCATTTAACGTCATTGATAGATTAACTAGAGCGACCTCTTATAAGAATGAAACCTGAATGAAGTTCATTATTGCATCTTAAAACAGGCGCTGTTTTTTTTCTTAGTCCTAAGATAAATGTAATATAATATACAAGGGTACGAACTAGAAGCGTGCATCGCTGAAAGCGATAGACTAGGCAGGTGTACATAATTAATTATTTTTTATTAACTAACAGCTGTGCTGGCAGCCGCGTTTTGAAAAAATAAATTACTATCTATTACACTAAACCGACCATTTTTAAACATTTTTAGGAGAACGAAGGCCGTTTTGCTAATTCGCATGTTCGTAAATTCTCCTAATAAAACATAGTTAAAAAGTGTGAGTAATAATAGTAAAAAGTAAGAAAGGGCAGCGCGCGGTTCACGTTTGGTACGAGTACAATGCCCTCGTGTAGTTATTATGGAGGGCACGCAACGCTTGTTGTGTTGTACCTTAATAGATAGTATTTCAATTTTGTGCGATGGACAACAGCGCCTTAATGAATTAGGTAATTTGTTTACTCATATTGAGCGTACGATTTTAGGTAGCTACATAATTAATATGATAAAACGCGGGTTAGGCAACAAGTATTTTCATTTATAGTTGAAAACGCTACTGCCCGTCGCCTGGTTGCCATCGCCCATCTCCTCTCTTAAGGAGGGTATGAGGAATTCTATGAAAAGGTCTATGTTGAACAGTGGGCTTTGAATGACAGTAATGAAGGAACGAAAGAATGAATTAGCATCTGTGCTGTCCTAAACTTAAAATTACATCAGTTATTTCACTTTATTTTTAAATCTACTTCGAAGGTCGATTCGACTGTTTCATTTAAATTAATTTCGCACAATATCTTCGGGGTTTACTTACAACGTCAGCTGCAACAGGCTACGGTTCTGCCAATTCGCTAGAATTTGCCGTCGTCTCGTCGCTATAATGATTGATTACTAGTGATGCAACGAATACGAATATGAAATCTACTATTCGGCGAATACGAATAGGAATATCTCGCCATGGTTATAAATAACTAATTCATTTGATGATTTTCTATTGTTCTAATAATTAGAATTCACAATAGGCAAGTTTTTATTTAAAAAACATAAAATTTGTACATTATCTGGTTTTAGGCGATTTCTTTTTTCAGACTGGATTGAAAATCTTTCCGAGGCAACTGTACATGGTTTCAGTGAAAAATATTTTTGGGCGAGTTTTTTCACCCTTGGAAAATGGACATCATCTTGCCAAAGGCCAAAGTATCAGCAGTGGGCGATAAATTTGGGAGTTTTAGATTATCATTTCGGTTTTAGTTTACGAATCCCCTGTAAAATATTTTGAAATTAAATTATAATTTTACTATGTAGATGACAATGAGCACCTATATTTATCTGATATTCGTATGATTTATCGAAATATTTCCATATGTTACTTTGATCTCGTTTACAAGAAATTTCTTTAAAAAATTAAACTAAAGCATATCTCTTGCTTGACTTGTGCTTTCGTTCGACTGTCAAATGAAATGAATGAATCAATCCAGGGTTCGTAGTGATAGACAATCTCCGTATTTATTCCGTCGTATTTTTTCGCGCCAACGACGCGCGTTTTCCAAGTCTGCCAGTAATTAGAACTGCGTAAAAAATATTAGTTTTTAAATATTCATGATTATTATTCGCCGAATACGAATATTCACTAAATGTCTACTATTCAGCAAATACAAATATTCGTACTCGTATTCGTTGCATCACTATTGATTACTAATCGGTCTAAACGATGATCGAGCTATTACATATTTAAATAGTCATTCCGCCATATTACAAGGCCAAAATCTTCCTGTTTAAGATGATAGCCTTGACAAAAAGTGTGGTGATTGATTGTCATAAGCCGTCATCGCCACACCGTACTATATACAACATGTAACATATTTAACGCACTTTAAGAAAGTAGTTTGTTCAGAATCGTTTATTGAATCATTTTTAATATAGGTAATTTTCTACCCCAAAAATAATTAAAACTACGTAAATTACAGTCACACTAACTCTGTACAGTCAAAACAAACTGAAATGGACCGTAACTTAAGGCAATAAGACTTTTAAGAGCGCAGTTTTATTTGTATTATTACTAATTCTGTCATTCAATAAAAATAAAGAAAAATGAACTTTATTTCAAGCACGTTAAAGTCTTTGCGTTCGTGGATTTGTACTGTGACCACAACATTCTTCCGGAATTAGTATAACTAATTTGATAAATTATCAGTGCATAAAAATGTTTAACTAAAAATTCAGTGTATGTATTACTTGTATTACATTGTATTACATGTATTACTTATTATTTTTGGGGTATCTGTATAGATTTCTCATCTGGTTGGGTTCTATAAATATATAATTATAAATGAAAATGAAAAGATAAATATACATAAATATCAATAACATAAAATAAATATAAAAATACATAAATAAATAAAAGCCCAACCAGATGGAGGCCCTCGGCAGGGGAGACCAAACGGCCGAGGGTTAGGGGGAAAGGGAAAGAAACCGGCGGACGATGCGGGCGGTATCGAGGAGCACCGCCTTCTGCATTTGAACCTGGAGCGGTCCGCCACGTAGTCCCAGCCGCCTCAGATGACCCGAGAGGCTGACTGGGATTAGCCCGTTTGCAGAGACGACTACAGGAATAATTTCGGTCGGCAGACCACCCCACATGTCGGTCACCTCGTGAGCCAGGTCCAGATATTTTGTTTTCTTGTCTGTTTCGGCTTTCACGAGGTTCTCGTCATACGGAATGGTAATGTCGACCAAAAATATCCTTGACTGTGCCCGGTCCATCAGCACAATATCAGGCTTATTCGCAAGAATAGTCCTGTCTGTGATGATGGCCCGGTCCCAATAGAGCCTGGCGCGATCATTTTCGAGCACGGCTTCCGGCAAGTACTTGTAATACGGCAATTTCCGATCCACGAGACCGTATTTCAGAGCGAGCTCCTGGTGTAGAATTCTGGCTACTAGGTTGTGCCTGTGCAAGTACTCAGAGTTAGAAAGCGCCGAACAACCGGAGATAACATGCCTAAGTGACTCACCGGGATGGCGACAAGCTCGACAGATGTCGACGGTGCCATCCTTTAGGATGTATCTCCGATAGTTGTTGGTCTTAATAACCTGATCCTGTATTGCACAGACAAAACCCTCGGTTTCCCCCGAAGAGATCACCAAAGCGTAGCCAGTGGAGGGAGGCTACTGTGTCTACGAAAGGCTCATGTAGAGCCTTGTAGAACCTCCCGTGGAGCTCCTTCTCCTTCCATACGGTCTCCCGGTCGGAAATGCTCTGCACTGCCGGGTCTTGCCATTGTTCGTTGGCTAAGGATAGAGGGGTAAGTCCTTTATCACAAGAAATGACGTCCTTATAGAATGGATCATCCGATCTCGCCAGGAAGTAATCACGGAGACTGCACACTTCGCGATTATGCATGGTGAGCGCGCTCAAGAAGCCACGACCACCATGCTTCCGCGGCAAGTACAGCCTCATTACCGACGATCTCGGATGATGCATCCTATGGGACGTCATGGTAGTGCGGACTTTTCTATCCAGGGCGTTAAGTTCAGTCTGAGTCCACCTGAGTATGCCAAAGGTATACATGAGGACAGGCATGACCCAACCGTTATATGCGTGTGCCTTATTCACACCGGACAAAAGGCTGTTAAGCACTTTGGTCAAGCGTGCATAAAACACGTCGCAAACTGACTGTTTCATACCAGCCTCATCGATACCGATGTTCTGTGACATACCCAGGTATCGGTATGTTTCAGCCTCGGAAAGGGTTCTTAAGTTGACGGGCATAGATAAGTCTATGCCCTCAGAGTTAGCAACCCTTCCCCTTTCAACATGGAGGACCGCACACTTATCCGTCCCCAGCTCCATTCTAATAGAATTGCTAAATTCACACGTGATGTTTAGCAATTCCATAAGATGGGAGCGACTGGAGGCGAATAATTTGAGGTCATCCATGTAGAAAAGGTGGGTCACTTTTGTACCTCCTTTCCGAAGCTGAAATCCCTTCCCGGAGCCCTCCAGTAAAGTACTGAGAGGGTTCAAAGAGAGGCAGAACCAGATTGGACTCAGACAGTCGCCCTGGAATATACCCCTTCTTATCCTTATGCGGCTTTCCGCAGCCGTCATCCGCTCGCCTAGATGACAGAGGATCGTACTCCACTGCCCCATACACTGCTCGAGGAAGTCTCGAACTGTACAGTCAATCTTGTACAGCTCGAGGACCCTCTTTAGCCATGTATGGGGCACCGAGTCAAATGCCTTTCTGTAATCTATCCAGGCGGCGGAGAAGTTCCGACGGTTGCGTTTCACCACTTTGCCGATGACCGCGTCAATGAGGAGTGGTTCCTTGGTTCCACGACCGCCGCCCCGACATCCATTTTGAGCGCGCGACATCACCTGATTTAAGTCCAGGTGACGAGCGATTCTTGCGCTCAAAATGGATGTTAGTGTCTTGTATATGGTCGGTAGACACGTGATGGGGCGGTATTTGCTCGGGTCTGTGGCACCCTGATCTTTAGGAACCAAATGAGTGATCCCAGTAGTGAAGAGGCTTGGGAGCGACTTCTGGTTGAGAGCCTCTTGAAACTGTCGGGCGAGCACAGAGTGACACACCATGAACCCCTTCAGCCAGTAGTGATGCAGCCCGTCAAGCCCCGGACTTTTCCAGTTCGGGGCCCTACGGACCGCCTCAGCTACGTCATCCGGCGTTATGATGACGGGGTCCATGGGCGTAATACTCGCACACTGACTCGCCACAACTTCCGTCCAAGGGCCCTCGTTGTGGTTTACGGGCTCTGACCACAGGCTGCGCCAGAATGCGACCATGTCGGCCTGATTTGGTGCAGGGCCCGTTCCACTTACTATTGGTCGCTCCAATGATTTATAGAGCCTCTTCTGATCACTCTGGAAGAGACGATTCTGGTTGAACCGTGTCGACCTCTCGGTATATCGCCGAATCCGCTTTCCCCAAGCAGCTATTCTTTGCTTCAGGTCGTCTATGCGCTCCGTCAGTTTTTGCATTATATCCGGCTGGGACAAACTAACATTTGTCCCAGCAAACGCCATCCTGACGGTGCGCACAATCCTTGGCCTGGTATTGCCTGACCTGAAGCATATCAGTCTGCCGATGAGGGCCCTAGCCTTTGCGATACGTTCTTCAATTCTTATTCTCCAGGCTGGGATAGCACTACTTTGTCCAGTAGCGCGTCCAGCCGTGGAAAGTTTGGCACCAATAATACGGCAGACTGCCAGTGCGGCGCCAAAAAGAATTGAGTCCGTATCGCAAAGGTCCCGGCTGGCTTCCAAATAGGTAACCAGCATTGGGTTCAGAGCCCTCACGACAGCCCGATTCCGCTTGCTTAGGGCTAAGCGGGGGAAGTCGCGGTCGATTTTCGAGAGTCGTACTGCGCGTTTCCACAATCGCCTCTTCCAATGTACTCCTCATTTGCTCTAGTTCCAGTTCCTGGGCGACTGTTCCATCATCGTTTGAATCAACCACAACTGGCGTATTCACGGCGGCATCCACATTTGCCGTTTGCTCAGCAAGTTGTGGCGCCGCATCCTCAGCCGCAGCATTTTCACCCGATGAAGGAACAGCCACACGTCGTAGCCGTTCGAGTTCGGTGACATCAAATGTATTTGAGCGCAAGATATACCGAACGCGGTCTGCCAGGTTTTGCTCGGTGACGGTTACAGATGGCTCCAGCTCAGCAAAAAGTCGATGCATCCTTGCCCGATACGCAAAACCTCCAGTTTCTCCCCCTTTCGCCCTAAAATACGCCCGCAATGCGTTGCTGTTCATCTGGGTTGTCCAACGCATGCGGCGTACTCCACCAGTGGCGGGTGCCGATTGCTGAGCCCGCGAAGACCCTGCCGACACCAAGCCAGCTGGTGGGGATGATGGATGCGAGGAGCTGCTGGGTGGTCGTGCAGCACCTCGCGCTCGGCTGGCGGTTCGCATGCTGTCGCGTCCAGCGCCAGCTCCAGACGCGCCCTGGCGACCTCCAGGCAGCGGCCCTTTGCGCGTTCCATTTGATTCCATCATCCATTTTAGGGCGTCATTTAGCGGGAGACGCCCAGACCCGGCGCCGTTTCATGGTTAGGCCATGTGCACAAGCGGGCCTTGGCACCTTCAATTTTTGCCGAGGCACGGCACTAACACCTCTTGGCAAGGTGCTGACTGACTGCGCCGACGTAGCGGTTTTGTCACATAACCGTTATATCAGCGGGCGATGGGGTCGTCACTTCCCTACGCCTTTGTATTACTTATTATGTATTATGATTATAACATAATATACTAATTGGGGTGTCTGAGGGTGTGCGTTAATTTTCCAGTAACTAAACTTATAAATAATAATAAAAATATACTTTTTAATATAACACGTTACATATTGTATATAACAAGCAATTTTATTATCATGATAAAATAATAAGTATGGTAACAAAAACAATCAAATCTGTAAAAGTTTAAGAAGATTTAAAAAGTGTATGTGACCGTCCATTCAATTTATTACCGTCAATTTATTTTTAGAACGGTGTTTTAACAGTATCAAACGATATACGCGTCAGATATTTGTAACAGCAATAAAATTGATATCTCCGCCTACGTCGATGGAAAAAAATGCAGGCACAAGGTTTAAAAGATGACATAAGGTTTGATATTGATGTTGTTTATTAGGTTTCTGAGTATGAATCAAAATCCAAAACACCATTGTGGTAAGACGTAAATACTTGATTTTCAGTACTGGATGCGACACACTTAGGCATATTTATGCGAATTTTTTTTTTGACTGAGCGTAGATACCTTTATTTTAGCTTGTATTTCAAGCTTGTATTTTTGAAGTGAAAAACTTCTTTAGCGGCGTTGTGCACTTTTTTTGTAATGTGTAAAAAAATGTTAAACTCACGTCAGGACACGTGACCTGATCGAAAATTCATAAGACGAAAACTTCTTTAGCGGCGTCGTGCACTTTTTTGTAATGGGTAAAAAATTTTAAACTCGCGTCAAGACACGTGACCTGATCGAAAATTCGTATGACGTCGTCGAAATTATGGGTGGAAGTTGATTTTTCTAAGAGATAAACTTTTTAATGCAATATAAATTGTCATGTTTGTACGATAGCGCAATAAATAAATATTGTATTCTACCACATAAATGATAGTACTTTTATACTGATAATTAAAGCAATTCGTGCAAAATTATTCCCTAACCATTCCAAAATAACAAAAATGCACAACGTTAATATTCAAGTTTTCACTTCTGCCGGCACTCCCGGAGTGCAACCCGTCGTTTTTTTTATAAAACTTTGGTGACAAACGAAAACGAACATACAGTCTACCTGACTGTAAATGGCTGCTTTATGGACATCTGCAGCCAATTTTATACAAAAAGGCTACAGATGCGTTGTCACCCTGAGGACTAAGATGGAAAGCTTCACAGCCTGTAACCGTACTGGCTTTATTATATTGTTACTGGCTGGGTATACCATCAGACCGGAAAATAGCAATGCAAGCACTGCTATTTGGAGCATATACATATACGAGGATGGATTGAAAAGTACTCGGCCTAACCAAGAAAATAAACACATACTAAATCAGTTATATTTTTATTTTTCTACATAATCACCATCAAGTTCAATACACTTTTGCCACCTCCCCTTCCAAGCATTTAGACCGTTGAAAAAAAATGATTCTTCCTTAGAGTCAAAATATGCGTCTACAGCTGCTTCGACCTCGTCGTTTGTCGAAAATATTTGACCTCCCAAGTGCTTTTTTAGGTTAGGGAACAGAAAGAAGTCTGATGGTGCCAGATCAGGTGAATACGGCGGATGCGGTAACAGTTCAAAGCCACAGTTGTGAATTTCAGCCATTGACTGTACTGACGTGTGAACACGGGCGTTATCTTGATGAAACAGGACTTTTCTTCTGAACATTCCTCGACGTTTTTCTTTTATTTCCTCTCGTAAACGACGTAGTAAGGTGCAGTATTAATCAGAGTTTATAGTCTGACCCCTTTCAAGATAATCAATCATAATCACACCTTTCGAGTCCCAGAATACTGAAGCCATCACCTTATTTGCCGACAAAATCGACTTAGCCTTTTTAGGGGTGGTGAACCAGGTCTTCTCCACTGTTTTGATTGTTGTTTTGTTTCCGGTGTACAGTAATGAACCCATGTTTCGTCCATAGTAACAAAACGATTCAAAAAATCATCTGCATCGGCTTCAAATAACTCCAAACAGTCGCGTGAAATAGTCAATCGCGTCCTTTTTTGTTCAACTGAAAGCAGTCGCGGAACCCACCTCGCAGACACCTTGTGGAAACCCAACTCGTTGACAATGATGTTTTGAGTTCGTTCATAAGAGATGCCTATAATCTCGGCTATCTCTCTAATTTTTAATCTGCGGTCTCCCATTATTAAATCAAGTACTTTTTTTAATATTTTCGTCAGTAGTTGACGTCGAAGGCCTTCCAGAGCGGGGTTCATCTTTCACACTCTCTCTACCACGCTTAAATTCTGCTATCCATTTTTTGACGGATGAATATGACAGAGCACAATCGCCTAATGTACTGACCATGTCATCATGGATGGCTTTTGATGATAGCCCCTTCTTATGGAGGTACTTAATGACGGCACGCTGCTCGATTTGCTCCATTCGCGGAAATTATGTCCGATTACTTTGTTAATAAATTTATAAAATCACAACTAATTATCGCACACGTTTCGAACTTCACACAATGAACTAGTCTGAACTGAACTAAATAATGTAGGTAGATTTGATTTTTAGAATTGAATGGATCTGTGTTAGGCCGAGTACTTTTCAATCCACCCTCGTAGGTAATAGGATTGTAACTACTCACATACACTCATAGGTAGAAAAAAGAGTCTAACCATACGTGTGGCAATATAAATGCTCTTTCATTTCATAGTGTATGATGTATATGTTAGTATAACAGGGCTTACTGTTGGTAGCTTTTATCAGTATTCTAAAGTTGTCGTTGTGTTACAAGCTGCATGAAACAAATTTAATTTTAATATTGAATAAAACTATTTAATATGGATTTTATCGCGTTTAATTAACTTATTTTTAATTCCCGACGTTTCGGATGCTTTAATGCACCCACGGTCACGGTGACTGAGATGTTTTACGTCCGAATGTCATAGTTAGCCCGGCTACCTTCAGTTTTTGAATATGAATTTTTGGTCAAATCTACGCAATTTTAATCATTTACGATTCAATATGTGACTTTTAATATTTTTAAAAGTTTACACAACGCTTCTTGAGCCCTCTTTATTGAAAGTTAGAAGTTGATATCCGCAGCTGCAACAACTTACCATCAGGTGGACGGACTGTTTCGTTTACCGTTACCAAACCAAAACATTGAAATATTACGAAATGAGTATTTCACTCTAACCAGACATATTAAAATCAGAAGCAGAAGTCAATTAATTATATAATTCAACAGAAAACGTACAAATTAGATAAATGATATTACATCCGCATAAAACGAGCCCTCTGTGAAAATACGTTACAGGCGGATGCTGCCATGTATGGAAAGTGTGCCGTGGTTTAAACGGCCGTTCGTGGTCAATATTAAAGACTGACTTCGTACTTTGCAGTTCTATTGAGATAGTTATTGCACGTTCAGCTCTACTTACAACAGGCGACGGACCCAAGTATGCAATGCATACTTTGGAGTATTCATCGATATTTTTCCATTAAAATTATTATTGTCTTAAAAATTGCAAAGGTGGTGGTGATGATTCTGTATGCATAATTAAATATCTGAATGGCTAATTTGTTTAATCAATAATTAATTATATTTTTTTAAAATTTACGAAGATACTACATGAATGCTATAAGACATAATACATATTACTAAGATGTAATATAATAACTAATAATACTATATAATGCCAAATAATAATAGTATTAATAATACTAAGATATAATCACAGAAATCGTATCTTATTATTACGATTTCTGTGGATATAATAATACTATAAGATACTTTGGGAA